GAGAGAGAGAGAGAGAGAGAGAGAGAGAGAGAGAGAGAGAGAGAGAGAGAGAGAGAGAGAGAGAGAGAGACAGCGAGAGAGAGAGAGAGAGAAAGAGATTTGTGACATTGCAATTTGTCCATATGTACATAGCGATGACATTTGTTGACGACATTCTCATCTCCTTCCCCTCTTCGTCTCATTCCCCTTCTCCCCATCCGTGTATGATCTTAGCCTCGCGCTTTCTTCCTGTGTGCAGCGCCAGGCCCCTCACACCATGCGATGATCATGATGTATGTTCCATCTGCATTTCGATCCTATCTATCCTACTATGACCAACTAATGTGTGTGTGATTAATTGACTGATTGTGTGTGTGTGTGTGTGTGTGTGTGTGTGTGTGTGTGTGTGTGTGTGTGTGTCTGTGTGTCTCTGTATGTGTGTGTGTGTGTGTGTGCCGGGGGGAGGGGAGGGAGGACAACTCTGTCACCAATCAGTCAATCAATCAATCAATCAATCAATCAATCAACAAATCAATCAATCGATTGATTGACGGATTGATCGATTGATCGATCAACCGATTGAGCACAGGAGATACACAGTTCCAGAGAGAGAGAGAGAGAGAATCGGGACCAGGATTGCACATCTCGAACGTCGGGATCAATATCGGGGTCGGGATCGCGGCAATCAATCGATTCAGTTGATTGATACCGGGGTTGAGGTCGGGATATTGGGGTCGGGATGAATATCGGGGTCGGGATCTTGATATGTCAAGATCCTATAAAATCAATCGATCTGAAATGATCTTGATATGTCAAGATCCTATTGAATCAATCGATTTGAAAGGATCTTGGTATGTCAAGATAGACAGTTCGAACTGTTTATCTTGACATATCAAGATCTTTTCGAATCGATTGATTCAACAGCATCTTGACATATCAAGATCATTTCGGATCGATTGATTTGTTATGTGTGTGCACGCGCAGGGGAGGCGACCCCCCTGGCAACCAATCAATCAATCAGTAAAGAGCGGGGGAGGCGCACGGGAGGCGACCCCCCGGACAACCAATCAATCAATCATTAACTCTGTGTGTGTGTGTGTGTGTGTGCACAGGAGGTGACTCCCTCCGCAATCAATCGATTCATTGATGCATTGATTGATTGATTGCAAGCGTGTCGAGGAGGACGTGGAAGCGCAAGCGGGGGTGGCAGCGGGGTGCCGATCAATCAATCAATCAATCAATCGAAAAAAGAAAAAGTGAAAAAGTCGAAAAACGCCATTTTCAAACCCCGTGGATACGTGTGTGTGCAATTGATTGATTGATTTATTGATTGGAAGTCGGGGCCGAAGGGGGAGATGGCGCAAACAGACGTGGAACCGGAACCGGCAACGAAAGCGTTTTTTTTATTATAAGTTTTAATCAATCAATCAATCAATCTCTTTCTCTCGCTCTTTCTCTCTCTCTCTCTCTCTCTCTCTCTCTCTCTCTCTCTCTCTCTCTCTCTCTCTCTCTCTCTCTCTCTCTCTCTCTCT